TTTTAGGTGAACTTTTGGGATCATTTCTTTTACTCTCTTGTCCATTTTCTTTCTCTGGAACCTCCAATTATTTGTTAGATCTTCTGGATTGATCCTCTAATTTTCTTATCTCTTCTCTCCATGTTTCATAGCCCCCTTTTTGCAACTTTCTAGAAAACCTCCTTATCTTCTAATCTTTTCACTGAATATTTTACATCAGCTTTTTTTTTTTTTTTTCCATTTCTACAGATGCATTTTTGAGTTTTGAAGGTTCTTTGTAAATAACTTCCTGTTGTTTTGGGGAGGCAGTAACTTCTCATATCTCTCTAAGGATATTGGAGTTTTACGTTGTATTTTGCAGTCTTTTTCTGTCCACTCATTTTCTCTGTTTTCTGAGTTTGCTTTCTTCTTGTTTATTGTTTTGGTCTTTGTCTTTTGCATTAGAGGCTCTCTGTGCATATTTAATAGTCAGACTTTGGGAGCTGCGCCCCATGGGCAGACAGATCCATCTTCTCATGGGTTTTCCTGCAGGAGTTTGCACAGGGCCCATCCAGGTCTTCTCTCTTTGGTCGGAGGGGCCTAGCTGGAGAAGATGTAGCTGGCTGGAGGTGTGTGGCCTGGCTGGAGAAGGCCTGGCCTGGCTGGGGGTATGGTAGTGAATGAAGAGGCAAAAGAAACCAGGGCCTAGTCAAGATAAGACTTTTTCCCCTGATAGCAGTTTCCAGCAAAGAGTGAGGTGACCAAAGCCTCACCAGTAGAGGAAGGTCCTTTGTGCCCTTCAAAGATCCCAGTGGGGAGGAGGGAGGCACTAAAAGAATGTGTGGCCCAAAGGCTGAACTCTTGGGTAGAGCAGGGCTGACTGTATATGTAGTAAGATAGAAATGGGCCAGTCATATTTGTGCTGGGCCCACAAATGTCACACTGAGGACACTGAGGCCGCTTAGGACCTCCGTGTTCCTAGGGTCCCCTGTGAACACACTTGGCCAGCCCCACCCCCTGTCCCCACAGCATCTGACCCCACTGACCTCCTTGGAGCTTTCTTCTCCTAACTGGGCTTAGGAGTTTTGGCTGGAGTCCAGGGTCTCCAGGGAGATTTTAGGGGTCTCCTCCCACTGGGCCCTGCTTGGGCTGGCCTTCTGGTGACATCCACCCTGCACATGCCCGCTGCCATCTCCCAGGCCTCTCACAGAGGGAGCTGGGTGTCTGGGGACAGGACCACCCGTGTGCCCTGGCTCAGCCCTGTCCCAAGCCTCCTGGTGGTCTCACTCAGCCTCCAGATTTTTCTGCAGTCGGCAAGGCTCCTCTTACGGCCCTGGCCTGGGGCGTCAGCCTCGCTCGGGAACCGGCTACCGAGTTCTGGATACAGAGCCATCACCCGTGGCCATGCTGACCGAGGGCAAATGGCAGCTGGATTGGCTGTGGGTGGACGGCGCCCGGCAGTGAGAGCCCAAGGGCAAGGGCACAGGTGGCAGGAGCAAAGAGTCCAGGATCCTGAAACCCTTAGTGCTGACCCAATAAAAACCCCTTTTACAGATAAGAAAACTGAGGTGCGGAGAGGTCAGATGAGGGCCTCTCCAGCCTCACCGTGAGTTAATAGCTTATCATTCTCTTTCCACTGACTGCACCAAGCAGGGAGTCTCTCTCTCTCTCTCTCTCTCTCTCACACACACACACACACACACACTGGTTTGCCTGGCACAGGAGAGTTCCTGACCCTTTGCCATGTCGTAACACAGGAATGTGTTGTGGCCCCGGGCACCCGTGGGCCTGTGTGTGCTGGGAAGGGGGCCGGGCACGTGGGACTCTCGGAATCTCGGGAAGTCAGTGAGGGGAAACCGAGGCCCAGAGCCAGCAGGCAGGGCCTGGTCCACTCACCGAGACACTCAGCACCCTCAGCGTCATTTCCATGTTCCTACCGCTCCTGTGAATAATTTGAAAAATTTAAACACACAGAATGTAATTGCTTGCCGATGACAGAATGCCAAGAGAGCCATAAAACCCGCCTGGCCTCAGCGCCTGCCCAGGCAGGTGGCACTGGGAGGACGAGCTGGCAGCCTCACCCCTGCCCTGCTGGCTGGGCCTCCCGGGCCTCTCTGCGGCTGGGGAACCAGACCCCCTGTGCCCGCCGACGGCCAAGCCGCACCTCACCTGCCAAGCAGGGTGCCCAGTGCCAGAGCAAACTGGGCTCGTGCCCAGCACACTTTCCAGAAATAGGTTTCTGCGAGAGCCTGAGGCTCACTCCTCCCTCACAGACCTTACCCCCTGCAGAGTCCCCACTGTTGCCTCAGACCCTGGAAATGCTGTGTTCATGGCCCCTAAATGCCTAAGGGCCTCAGGAATGTTCACTGGGCCAGGCCGGGGCTCCAGTTCACAGCTCCCCGCTTCCGTCAGGCCCTCTGCCCTGCCTGCCAGCCTCCCGGGAGGTGGGGGTGAGAAGCCCTTCTGGTCATGGAGGGGGCCCGGGGCTCAGACAGGAAAGTCACTTCTTCACAGTTCTCTGGATTCAGCGCCTGTGGCTCCGGAAGACACGGCTGCTCCAGAAGGCTCGTGGGCTCTGACGGCAGGCCCCTCCTTGTGCCGCCCGGCCACCCACCTCATGGGATTTAGCGCTGGGGCGCGGGGGGCTCCTGAGCTGCTGTGGTTCCTCCGGGCGGGGAGGGGGCGATGGTAGGGGACGTACAGGGATGGAGGGTGGGGATAGGGTGGGGGGTAAGGCAGGTGGGTGGAGGAGTGGGTAGATAGGTGCGGTTAGCCTAGGGGGTGGACGGATGGGACCCTATTTTTTTGGTGTCTGTCTTTCCGTTAAAGGCTTCATTTAAGGCCCAGGAATGCTGACCTGCCTGAGGAGGGGGCCACTGAAAGGACCCGGGGGCTCTGTGTGGACTGGGGGCCTTTGGAGACCCTGTCATTTCAGCTGGGGCACCTGTGCACTTTTCCTCTGAGGCCTGTCCCTGTCCCCAGAGAAGACCCCTCACCTCTCCTGCCTGGCTCCGTCCCAGCCAGGATGGCCTTCCTGCCTCCTGGAGGCTCTGATGCCTTCTGCCCAGGTAGGCCTGGGCCCCTGGCTGCGTTTCATAAATTGGCATCAATCGCTGAGAAGCCTCCTCTGCCCTTCTCTTCCCTCTGTGGTTTATACCTTGTTCTTGCTTTCTTTCTTTTTTAAATTTATTTATTTATTTTAAGAGAGCAAGCGAGCAGGGGAGGGGCAGGGAGAGAGGGAAAGAAGAGAATCCCAAGCAGGCTCCGTGCTGTCAGCGCAGAGCTTGACCCCGGGCTCGATCCCATGAACGATGAGATCATGACCTGAGCCAAAATCAAGAGTCTCACGCTTAACCGACCAAGCCCCCCAGTCACCCCTGTATCTTTTTGTTTCTTCACCACACTTTCCTGGGAGAAACTAGGGGGACGCGTGGGGGTGTCCAGCAGAGAGCCTCCCCCCCTCGTGCGGGTCCTTCCTGGAGCCCTACCCGGTCCCAGCCTCGTAACTTTACATTCTTCTGGTTGTTTAAAAGTTTCTATGTTTATGCCCCGGTCTCTAATCTGTTTTCTGTATCAGGGTTACTGGCATGGTTTTATTGAGGGGGGAAAAAAAGAGTTCTGTTCCTAAAAAATGCTTATAAACCACGGACTGGGCCCAGCCCAGGGGAGCGGGGGAGGGAGATGAGGGTGAGCGGGGCGTCTCTGAGCCCAGTGGTGCCTCTTGTAAATCACCGCTGCCGAAGGGGGGACACCAGTGAGGTGACTTGCTTTCAGAAATGACGTTGGGGGCCTCTCCAAGGACAAGAGAGACCAGTGGGGAGCAGGCACGGACACTGCTGGTGAACTTCAGGCCTCACCGCGGCCACGGGGCCTCTGACAGCCCCTGCACACCAAGTGTGACCTAACAAGTTCCCCTCAAACCTCTAGTGCATGGTCGGCGTGTCTGTTCAGCCTCAGTGAGGTTGCTGGAAGGTCAGGCTTTGAACCGAGGGAGAGATTTAGGCATCCCTTGATTTCTGGAGCAATAAAAGCTCTTTAGAACAGCTTTGAACCCTCTCTTTCCTCTTTAAAGAGCTCGGTCCCTGGGGCAGACAGACATAAATGGGTAATTATAGCCCAGGGAGACGTGTACCTGGGGGGTCAGCCGTTAGCGGTCTCCTAATTGGCCTTCCGGCTTCCAGCCCCTCCCACGCCCACCCATTGTACACTCTGCTGCCGGAGTGAGGTTTTAAAAATGCACACCTGACCTTGACTTTCACCCCCTCCCACAGCTGCCCCCTGGCCTCAGGCCTCCTAATGGGCCCAGCCCACTGCTCCAATCTGTGGGAGGGGTGGAGGGGGGCCTGGGTATGTTCTGATTCTCCTAGGTTGCTACCAGAACCTTCCCTTTTCTTCCCTGTCTCCAGACCTCAGCCCTCCTTCCTCACCCGGTCAGTCATTGTGCATCCCTCAGGCCTCACCTCAGATGCTGCTGCCTCCAAGATGTCCTCCATGACCCCACCCCCCACCCCAGACTGGCATCACTGTCCCCCACGCCGCTCTTTTGCACATTCTATTCTTACAGCCCTGCATAGCCCTTACCAGCCTGTACTTTTTTGCCCACCTCCCTCCCTGGACTGGGGCTCTCAAGGTCAGGGAGCACATCTCTTTTACCATCTGTTTATCAGATGTTGGATTTTTTTTTTTAAGTCCCTACTTTGTGCCAGGCCCTGAGATTGGGAGGCCAATAAAATCGACAAAGCCCCTACCCTCATGGCCCTTGCAGGCTGACTAGGCATTGAGGGTGGGCTCAGGGCTGGCTCTGACACTTTGCGGAGTAAATGGACAGTACCGTGTGCCGCCGGTGCTCAGAAAAGAGGCAGCTCAGAGGTCAGGGAGGCTGCATGGAGGAGGGGGCGCTGCAGACAAGGCCCTGAAGGACGGATAAGAGTTATCTAGGCAAACTGATCCCAGAGCTCCCTGCCTGCCCGCCTGGAGGCTGTGCTGGTGGCTGGCTGCTTGCAGCGCAGGGTCTACACTCCATTCTCGCCCTTCTCTTTCAGAATGCATGAACTGTACCCGGCTCAGCGACATGAGTGAGCGACTAACCACGCTGGAGGCCAAGGTCAGACGGCCTGGGGAGCTGGCGGGTGTGTGCGAGGGTTGTGTATCAGTTCCTGCCGGGTGTGGCTGGGGAGAGCCCAGCCCTGAGCAGTTCGGTCCCAGGGGTTGGCTGCTCCTGGGGCCTCAGTGGTTCTGGGTGGTCTAGTCTGGGCCACCTCCCAGGGTGGGGGAGGGGAGTGGGGAAAGCCAGAAATACGGAGGTCTGAGACAGCAGGCTGGTCTGGGTGTGGGCCTCCGTGGCTGGCGGAGCTGGAGCCCCAGAAGTTGACCCCTCAGTGGAAAAAGCAGGGCACCCTTCCCCCCTCAGGAGCTGCTGCTCCCAACTCTGGCTCCTCCTCTCCCTCCCCGTCTGGCACACGGCTGGGCACAGACAAGCTGATGGGGAAGGAGCTGCCTGGCAGGTGGAGCCGGTCACCCCAGGGGCAGAAGCACTGAATAAAGAATGAGATGATTTAGGGGCACCTGGGGGGCTCAGTGGGTTAAGCGTCCGACTATTGATTTCGGCTCAGGTCACGATCTCATGGTTCGTGGGACGGAGCCTCACGTGGGGCTCTGCACTGAGTGCAGAGTCAGCTTGGGATTCTCTCTCTGCCTCTCTCTCTCTCTGCCTCCCTCCTGCTTGTGCATGTGCATTCTCTCTCTCTCTCTCTCTCAAAATAAATAAGTAAACCTAAAAAAAAAGAAACAAAGGAAGAGGAAAAGTTAATTTATTTGAGAGTATGGGAGTAGCCCCAGGCAGCTCTGGGCAAGGAGAGAGGCAGTAACTCAGAGGCAGAGGACGTGCGGGGCGCAGGTGTGGGGACAGAGCCTGCCGAGGGACAAGGAGGCTGGCGACCATCCCTCCGTGAGAGACCCTTCTCCTGGGCTATATCGCCGTCACCTCATGTGCTCTGCCTCGCGAGCCTGCCGACATTGCTCCGGCGGAGTGTCTCAGGGACCCGGTGCCTACGAAGCCAAGCTGGGGGGGACCGCAGGCTGCGTCCTGACTGGGGATGAGCCCATTGCTCCCTCCTGTCCCAGGGTGCCTGCTGGGGACTGAGGCCTCTGTACCCAAAGCCTCCTGGGGCTGGGACTGCTGGGGTGGCCTGGCCCGGAGTTGGGGGAGAGCCGCTGGCTAGAGGCCAGAGTGGGGATGGAGGACGGAGGTGGACTGAGCGAGCCCCGTGGCAGGACCACAGAGCGGACCCAGAGGTCGGGCCCCTCCCCTGCCCCGAAGAGCCTGGTAGGCAGACCTTCCCAGGCAGACGCATATGCGTATGCACACAGACACACGGACACATGCGCATGCACGTGCACGGACACACATATACACGTAGACACACAGACACACTCACAAACACGCACAGGCTCACAGACGCGCACACACAGCCCTTGCATCACCCTTTGGCCCTGCTTCTTGCCCTGAAAGCCTGGCCGTGAGGGCACCTGCCGGTGAAATGGGGCTGCGGATGACTGTCGCTCGGGGTCAGGCAGAGTGGGGCTGTCACCACTGGCTGGGTGACTCTCGCCGGGCTCCCGGCGCCTATACTGTGCGGTGGATTGAAGAACCGGCCTTTAAAGGGCAGCCGGGGCCTCAGAGGACAAGGCGGAGGGTCCCAGCCTTGGAAACGGCCGAGCACTGGACAGATGGGAGGGTCTGTGTCAGCGATGCCATCTTGCCGTTCCCATGGCACAGATGCAGCCACAGGTGTGCGGGAGATGCCTGTGCAGAGCACATGGCATGAGAAGCTCCAGGCCATGAGTGCCCCCCCTTGTCCCTGAGCCTCCTGCAGGTGGGAGGGTCCCCCGGCGGCCCCCTGGACATGGACTGGGACTGGGGGACCCTGTGCCCTCCTTGGGGTCGGTGGCTCCGTGGGGGTGGGGTGGAAGCCATCAGGGAATGGATGCCATCACGTGGGCCAGGCTGGGGCTGGGGACGCCCCGGGAACAGGAGGGGGGTGACGGGGAAGATGCCAGGGTGAATGTGTGGCACCTGAGATTTTAAAAAGAAGAGGGGTTGCCAAGCCAGCTGGCCTGACCGACATTCTCCAGGCACCTGAAGCCTCTGAGCAGTTGGGCAGGGTGTGGACTGGCAGCTTGCCGTGCCCCAGCCGGGCACCTCAGGGTGTTACAAGTCCCAGCTCTGGGGGCAGACGGGCGCAGTGCTAGCTGTCTTCCACCCAGCTGGCCCTGGCCCGCCTGCCGGGAGCAGCTCCCCCCGTCCTCTCACCCTGACCCCACGCTGGGCCACAGCAGCAGGCTGTGAGGGGGCTCCAGGGTGAGGGTCGTGATCCTTCTGCAGAGCTGGGGGACAGGACGGTGGTCGGGTCCCTGCCCAGGAGTAGGTCTGCCTTTCCTGCTCAGCTCTGGCCCCCATCTGCTGTCCTGTGAAATGGAAATCGAAAGAGTCACTTCCCTGCCCACCCCTCACCGGCTTGTTCTGGGGGAGGGTGTACAGGGACAAGCTTGGATGGGGAGAGGGGGAGGGAATCTGCATCTGAGGGTGTGCCAAGAGCCAGCTGCCACCACCCTCCCTCTGGATTCCCAGCTCAGGGATGTGCGATTCCTGGCTCAGGTCCTGTGCGTTACCTGGGTCACCTTCTAGCTGTTTACCTGCCTGTTACATGCCTGGGGGTCCCCTGGGGAAACGGAGCCCCTGAGAGGCAGCAGCCGGAGAGGGAGGGGGCTGGAAGCTGGCTGGGCTGTCGGGACAGCCCCTGCTGTGGCCAGGGGGGCCTGCCGGGCTCAGAGAGGACACGGAGCAGGATCAGTGGCTGTAGTCAGGCCAGCGAGAGCCAGGCAGGCAAAGCCCAGATGGGGAGTCAGAAGCCAGACGACTGGCATAAGAGAGCAGCAACCCAGAGGCCTGGAAACTGTGGCCTCTGCCCTCTCAGACAAGTAGCCTGCTTTGCTGTGTCAGTATATTCTTTAAGGATGTTTATTGTTTGTTTGTTCAACGAGAAGTCCAGCAGGTCTTGGGATTGGTTTGGTGGCTTAAGAACTCAAGCTCTTCGCAGCCTTCCCCTCCACCTCCTTAGTGAATGGGCTTTTGTCCTCATGGTCAGTGCCTCATGGTTACAAAGTGGCTGCTGCTGCTCTAGGCATCGCATCCCCGTACATGTTCAGAGGCAGGAAGTAGAGGATAAGGCAAAGCAGCCTAACAGGCTCTTCTGTCCCATCGACCAGCACTGGGCTCTATGCCTATCTCCTAGTTGCAAGGGAGTTGGGAAAATAAGTACCTGGCAATCACAATTCCTCCTCCGGAGCATACCCACAGGCACACGACAGGGGGCTCTCCATGTCTAGCAGCCATCAGGGTTTGCTCCCTCTTCACTTCCTGCCGGTGCCTGAGCTCCTGGAAGGCCCAGACCTAGGAGCTGACCTGGGACTCCTGCCACCCTGTTTTTCTGAGACAGGGTAGAGTGGTGGGGTGGAAAGTCAGGAAGAAGCTTCCTTCCTGCCCTCCTCTCCTTCCTCCGGTTTACACTCTGACTCCACGGACCGCGTGGCACGGGAGGGAGCACAGGGAGGATTCCCCTGTGTGAGGGTCACAGAAGCCTCCGAGTTAGCCGGCGTCTGGCCCAGGAGGGCAGCCTCCCAGCCAGCCAGCCAGGCTGCGATGATGGCATGGGAGCCACTGCCCTCCGAGGTTGGCTGCAGTCTGGTTTTCTTGGGTGGAGTCCCCACGCCCACTGCTGCCTGTCCTGGTGAGGTCATGCCGGCCCCCGGGTGGGATCGGTGGCACCAGGAGGCTGGCCACAGCCAGGCCAGGAGGGCTGGGACGCCGGCCAGGGCTCCTGCTGACTTGGCTGTGACCTGGGGCTCCTCTGCCCGGGTGGTGATGCCATGGTCCCAGGACCCACTGCTGCCTTCACCCACACTCCTGCCCCTGGACCCCCCATCACGTGTCTCTGACAGCTCTCCCCACCTCCAGCTCCTCCACTGCCCAGAGCCCCTAACCTCGGACATGGCTGGTCAGCTTCCCAGCGGACACTCAGTGATTGGGGGAGGAATCATCACCCTTCCCTCCCCGAGGGGATTCCAGGGTCGGGAAATGGAGTTGCATCCCCGAGCCGCACTGTGATAGTGGCCGGCTACTCCCCTATGGGTGCTCCAGTGAAGTTCCGCCAAGGCTTGGGCTGTGGCCAAGCTGTGGGGAGGTGGACAAGGCACTGCATGGGACCCTGGTCCCAGCCTACTTGCTGGGTGACCTTGGGTGAGTCACTTGCAGTCTCTGAGCCTTTATTTCCACCTCTCCTGGGATGGACCGTAGTGACTCTTCCTGCCTGCTGGGGACTTGGAAGGACCAGAGTGGGAGGGGCTCGGAGAAGTAGCGGTGGGGGGGCGGGGGGGGAGTTGCTGGAGCCTCATGGGGAGGAGCCCACGGGCCCAACAAGACGGAGACCCCAAGGCCTGGTGCAGGGGTGCCACTCTGTTCCCTAGGATTCTCAGAGACTGCCACCCAGGCCTAGGGACACTGCAGGACTGGTGGGAGGGAGTACTTGGGGGCCCCTTTGTCACCCCCCTCCCCCCCCCGCCAAACCACAGCCCAGCCCAGGCCTGGGTGCCATGAAGGCTGCCCTTTGTCCCTGGGACCCAGCAGTGTCTGCAGGAGGAGCCGCGGCCCAGTGCGGCACGCCGTCGGTGTTCTCGCCCCCGCTTTGCTGATGGGAAAACCGAGGTCCGGATGTCACAACGCTTGCACAAGTTCACACGGCGGCAGCCGCCTAGTGGGAGAGCCGGATTCAAACCAGCTTGGGGGGCAGCAGGGGCCTGAGCACCCCGATCAGGAGGCACTTGACCCAGGCGGGGTCTGGGGGGAGAGCAAGGGGCGCCTGCTCCCACCCATGGTTCTCGATACAAAGTGATTGTGCAGTGGCTCAGGAGTGAAGGGAAGGGCTGGCGGGGCCGGGGTATTGGTGGCCCTCTGAGGACATGGGGGTGGGGAGTCTCAGGGCAGGAGGGACCCTGGGGTCCTTCCAGCAGCTGGAGCAAAGCTGGTGAGGCCCAGGAGGGGATGGGGGCAGGTGGGGACCCTGGGACCATAGACCCAGGGCCAGAGGGAGGGCGGGGCAGGCGAAGGGGCATGGGGTTGGGGGGGAGCCTGGGGGAAGCCAGATACACTGATTCTGGCCCTCCTCCACGTGGGGAGCGGCTGTCAGGGAATCTAGCAGGATGCAGGGTTCTGCCTCAAGGCTGGAGGGAACCAGACACATGGGGCTTTCTGTCCTTCAGGCAGATCCGGGAGCAGAGACTCGGGCACGCGGTGGGCGGAGCAGGAAGCCGACTCTGTGGGACAGGCCTGGGACCCCTCTCTGGGGGTGGGCCTACCCTGCGACCCAGCACCCACCAGGCTGCCTCGCTTTGATCCCTGGTGTGCAGCGCCCCCTGCTGGCCTCTTTAGGGACAGCAGGGACTTGCTGGGGCCTCTGGGACCTGGCTCCCAGTTCACCTGAATTAGGGAGACAGTGTCGCTGCCCAGGCCCTGGCTCTGCAGTGTTTGACCCCCAGCTCCCTCAAGGGGAGGGGACCCGGCAGCTTTCCACGCCACCTTTTGCTTTCCTAGAGCTCCTACTGAAAATCAGGCCAGGACCCTTTATATTCGCTTCTTTCTCATTCTCTATTTCTTTTTTTTTTTTTCTTCTCTATTTTCTTCCCTCTCTCCTTCCCTCCTTCCATCCACAAACATTCCTTGGCCACGTTGCGTGTGCCCTAAGCCAGGCCGTGTGAGGGACAAGTGCCCTGGAAGGCGCCAGGGAAGGGGGTGAGGCAGCTCCAGGAGTGGAGTCCAGAGAGTCTGAAAGTGTCCCAGGGGTGACCTGCGTGAGCCCGGGGTCCAGACTCTCTGGAAATGGGAAGGGGAGGAGGGCAGGGGTGGGGGAATATTCCGGCCAGGGGAGCGGCTGTCCCAGGAGGGGCACGATCACCCCTGCCTGGCATCAGGCGGCTGTAAGCACGCATCTCAGGCCTGGCGGGGGGCCTGACCTCTGCCCTTGTCCCCAGGTTCTGCTGCTGGAGGCAGCGGAGCAGCCCGCAGGCCCGGGCAATGACCTGCCGGCCCCCCAGAGCACCCCACCACCCTGGAACGAGGACTTCCTCCCTGACGCCATCCCCCTCGCCCACCCAGGGCCCGGAAGGAGAAGGCCCACAGGCCCTGCCGGTGAGTGAGGCCCGCGGCCAGAGCGACCCGGGCCCGGCCCCCCAGGGCCTCCACCTCGAGGTCAGGCTGTAGGGATCCAGCATGCCCACCTGCTATGTCGAAACAGTGAGCTAACTTTTCGGAAGCGGGGTTCGCATGAAAATCAGGATTTCCAGCTTCTCTTAGAAAAAGGGAGGGTTTGGGGGCGCCTGGGTGGCTTAGTCGGTTAAGCGTCCGACTTTCGCTTAGGTCATGATCTCGCGGTTCGTGGGTTCAAGCCCCGCGTCGGGCTCTGTGCTGACTGCCAGCTCAGAGCCTGGAGCCTGTTGCAGAGTCTGTGTCTCCCTCTCTCTCTGACCCTCCCCTGCTCACGCTGTCTCTCTCTCTCCCTCTCCTAGAAATGAATAAAAAACATTAAAAAAAAAAAAAAAGAAAAAGGGAGGGTCTGGCCATTGGGGTTCGTTCAGTTCCTCCTGGAAGCCAGGTCACAGCTGCCTCCTCAGACCCCCATCCTTCCTTGTCGCCATTCAGCTCCACACATGTCACCGTGACCTACCTTGCCGTCTCTTAGCATCAACGCTTACCCCCTCTCCCCCCCCCCCAGTCCAGCCCGTGCCCTCCAGCTCTGGTTTACAGGGAGATTACTGCCTCCCACCACCTCCTGGGGCCGGGAGGGGCTCACTGAACTCTCTGGCTGAGTCTCTTCTCCCTCAAACAGTTTTTTAAACATTTATTTATTTTTGAGATACAGAACAAAAGCAGGGGAGGGGCAGAGAGAGAGGGAGACAAGACTCGGAAGCAGGCTCCAGACTCTGAGCTGTCAGCACAGAGTCCGACACGGGGCTCGAACCCTCAGACTGAGAGATCATGACCTGAGCCAGAGTCAGACACTTAATCATCTGAGCCACCCAAGTGCCCTCCTGCTGTGTTTTGAAATCAGGAGTAAATGTTTTTTCTTTCTGAAGCACTGGGGACTGTAGACTAGGGATAGTGGGCCGCGAGCATTGCTGAAGAATGCCTGTCCTGCGCCGCGTGCTGTGCCGGGGCTTTACCCCAGGGACACGTGTAGCTGATGTCTGTCAATATGGCAGACCTCAGGGGTTTAAGGCCACTGTCCCTTATGACTGGTTACTATCTGTGCTGTGCCAGTTATTAAATATTTTCATATCATCCCAGTCTGTACGGATCTCATTTCTCATCATTCCCCTAATTTGGTAATGCTTGGGATTACAGAGAAGGAAACCGAGGCTCAGGGAAATGGCCCCTGGGGTCAGCCCATTTGTCTCAATTACTGTTGGCCCAACAATAGCCCTTTGCAGGGGACACTCTCCCTCAAGCGCCTCTCTCCCAGTTGAGCCCCCAGCTTCTTAGTGCTGGGGCCCAGACTCGGCTCTGAGCTCACATGCTGTGTTTCCTGCGTGTGCCTGTCCGGTCGGGACAGGGAGCAGAGAAGGGAGGGCACAGCCGCCAGCAGTGGGAGCCTCTAGTCCTGGGGGGCTGTGGGAGGAGGGGTGATGGGTCCCCCCACTCACCTCTCTAGCTACCCTCCCCTAGGTGTCACACCAGACAGCGCCCATGCCCACCTCCTTCAGTCCTTCTTCTGGAACTGGGGAGGAGGGGGATTTCCCAGCCCTCAGAAGACCCAGGCCCCACGGCCCCTATGGGGTGGGGGGAAGTTGACAGGTGCTCTGGGTCTCCTGGGCCACTTTCTCTTCACCAGGCAAAGTGCAGTTCTGAGAAATGGCCACCAGGTGGGGCACAACACCTACAAATGGTGACACCTGGGGAGCCCAGGAATTCTTAAGCGCAGATGAGAGGGGCACTTGTATCCTTCAGGGCTTCCTGGGGTCCCCGTGGAGGCCTCATTGGGGAGCTCTTTGCCAGGATCCCAGTTCCCGACCCCGAGCAGGGAGACAGTAGGACTCTTGAGAGAGGGGCCTAACTCATCAGCAGGCTGGCTCTGGGCCTTTGAGCAAGGGACCATGCCTTCCTCAGCCTGTTTCCCCACTTGTCAAGTGGGAACAAAAGTAGCTCTTGAGATCATAGGACTTAATAGGTACAAAAATGGTCTGTAAACTAAGGATGGAGGAGGTCTCTGCTCCAGGGTCTGGGGTCTGGGCGGGTCTGACCTGATGGCCCAGGTGGTCCATGTCCTCAGGGCTTACCTCGTTCTCTCCCCAGGGCCCCCGGGGCAGACGGGACCGCCAGGGCCGGCAGGTCCCCCAGGCTCCAAAGGAGACCGGGGCCAGGCAGGAGAGAAGGGCCCAGCGGGGCCTCCTGGTAAGGACACCCTGCACCCCAGATCTGACTTTGGCCGCTGGGAGCGGGTGGGTTTTCTCTGCTATCTGAGCAGGCGAGGTTTCCCATGACCCCCGATCTTGCTGGGGTTAATGACTGCCATCTTGGGGGACTCCGGGCTCCCTTCGTCCCCCTAGCGCCCCCACTGACACCCTATCCATCCCACTTTAGGGCTTGGTCTGATCCTGGGCTGCAGGAAGGACGGGAGGCTCCGGCGCTGGGGGTACAGGCATGGGGGGGGGGCAGCTGGGGACTGGGGACTGTGCTCGGCCATTTAAACACCTCCAGAGAGCCCCCCAGTCCTCCTGGGCCCTGCAGGGAAGGCATAGGCTCCGTGTTAGCCCAGGCTGGCTGCTACCCTCAGTGCTCTGACCCCAGAGCTGAGGTCCCAGGAGGGGTCGGCCCTGCCTCGCGCCCCTCCCACCCTGCCCCTGTGCTCCCTGTGCACCAGGCCGGAAGGGAAAGCCGGTTCACTCACGTCCCGGGACAGCCTTCCGGGGACAATGGTCTGGAGGCCACCCCCGGCCTGGGTGTCACCCCGTCCGCAGTGTCAGCCACCAGGCCCAGCCCCCATGTGACTCCTCTTCTCCCACTGCAGGCCTCTTGGGGCCACCAGGGCCCCGTGGGCTTCCTGGAGAGATGGGGCGCCCTGGCCCCCCCGGCCCCCCCGGCCCAGCAGGCAGCCCGGGCTTCCCTCCGAACGGCCCCCAGGGTGTCCTCTACTCCCTGCAGCCGCCGACGGGCAAGGACGGTGAGTGCCACCAAGGGGCGGGCCCTGGGCAAGCAGACCCTCAGTTGGCGCGGCCTCGGCTTCTGGGACCAGGCTCTGCAGGGAGGGGTGGAAGGGTCTCTGGTGGGGTCTGACACGGGTCCCCCAGCCCAGCTCTTGGCCCCAGCCCGGCCTGTCCCTGCCCCAATGTTCAGCTCCTGCCCCTGGGGTCCTGACGCCCCACAGGTCCCTGTTGTCTGGACTGGCCTCAGTTTCCCCTTTCTGTGAGAGCAGCACCACCAAGGTCACCATTGCTGCATCTCCTGGAAAGTCACCTCATTGTACGTAGGCCACGCGACAAGTATTGGTTGAGCACCTACTATGTGTCCTGCACACAATTTTTGTCACTGGGGGTGCAGCGGTGAACAAAACAGTCTCAGGCCCCCAGGGGCCGGCGTCTCTGTGTTTCTGAACCCAGGAGCATCCGCCTGCCTGTGGGGAGAGGGGGGGTCAGGGAGGCCCCGAGAGTGGGCTGGGGGCACCACAGGAGGGTCTTTTGGTTAAATGCCCTGGGAAACTTGGGAGGGTTTTAAGAGTGAGTGACAGTGTGGAGTGAAATCCCAGGCACTGTGGGGGATGGGACCTCTTTGTCTCCGTTAGAGACACCCAAGCCCCTGCCTGCTGGTGCTCCTGTCCCCACTCGGGCAGCACAGCCCTTAACCTGAGCTTTATTATTATTACTATTATTTTAGATTTTTAAAGTTTATTCATTTTTGAGAGAGGGAGAGAGACATAGAATCCGAAGCAGGCTCCAGGCTCAGAGCTGTCAGCACAGAGCTCGATGTGGGGCTCGAACCCATGAACCACGAGATCATGACCCAAATCAGACGCTTAACCGACTGAGCCACCCAAGTGCCCCTAACCTGAGCGTTAAAACTTGGGGCTGAATCCCAGTGTCCCAGTCCGAGCCTCAGTTTCCCCACTTGTAGAGTGGGAGACGGGTATTATCCCCGATGGAGTTGCTCTGGTTGGAGGAAGTGACTCATCCTTGAACAGAATGGGGGTTCTGGGCTGCCCGCAGTGGGTGCAGGGGCCCAGCCAGGCGAGAGCAGAGCCTTCCGGTGCAAGTGGGGACTCAACGAAGATGGGGGGGCGGACGGTGAGAGGGCCGATGCCACCTGTGCGGTGCCTTGAGGTGTTCAGGGCTCAGCCGCCCAGCCCCGAGCCACAGGACCCACCCCCAGGGCCCAGCCTGCCCGGGTCTGGGCCATGCGCCTCGGTCACTGCCTTCCTGACCCTACCCCCCCGAGTGCCCAAAGCCCTCATCGGATGGGACCCTCCTCACCGACGACCTGGGGGTCCCTGAGTATGAATTTGGGGAAGAGCGGGGATGTCCCAACAGGCCCCACCCGCCGCGGTGAGCCAGTGGAAGGGTGGTCCAGGCTTCCGGGTGTGGAGGGAGGGCAGAGGTGGCCATGTTTCCTGGGTCTGACTATGGGGATGGTCAGGGCAAAATCACATGTGGCTTGCCCTGCAGAGACCTCTTTGTCAGGATGGGCCATGAACAGACCTCACCCCTGCCCCCAGCTGAGCGATGGGCCCTGAAGAGGCAGCTCAGAGGGCTGGGCAGGGAGGGCTTCCTGGAGGAGGCCCCACAGGAGTGAGCCAGTCAGGTGCATCAGAACGGGCCTGTGGAGCGGAGTGGGGAGGAGAGTGCTGGCCGGGGGCCCTGGGGAGGTGACTGGGGCCGGGCCAGACTCTCAAGGGTCTGGAGTGCTCAGGAAGGAGTTTGTGCCTTACATGGAGCTCCCTGCACTTTGCCTGCCCTTTGACCTGGGAGCAAGAGCATCTGCTCGCCAGGGCTGCTGTGAGGCTGGTGGGGTTGGGGATGCCTGCCCTCCTGGCCCTGGGGGAGCCCAGCTCTAGCACCCCAGCCCTGCAGGTGTCCCCCACCAGTCACAGGCCCCTCTGCTCTGCCCACAGACAGAGACGTACAGCTGGCCTCTGGGACCGTAGACACGGTGCTGGCCGGTGTCCCAGGGCCCCGGGGCCCCCCCGGCCCTCCAGGTAAGTGCACAGCGCAGCTGCACAGCCTGGCCAGGACCGGGCACCCCCTCCGGCACCCTTGGCTGGGTGGGGGGCCGTGGCTTCGGCAGGGCGCTGGAGATTGGCTCTGTCCACAACCCACCACGTGGCCTGAGGTGAGACCCCTCTGGGTGGCAGCTCCCTTGTGGGATTGGACACAGGAACCCCAAATGTTTCTGCCAGGTGTCCCCGTGAAGCAGCTCAGGGCTGCCCCCACGTGGGCCTGAGTGGGGATTGCACCGGGGTTCACGGAGGCCCAGGCCCAGGGGAAGGCAGAGGGGGAGTTCAGGGGTAGCCCCAGGAGCCTTGAGAGGCAGGAAGCCTTGGGCCTTGTGGCAGAGACCAGGGGCCCTGGGGGAGGGGACGGCCCTCTAAGAGGCTGGATCCTGCGAGTGGCTGGACCTCCTCCTTCCAGGGACCCTCACTGGCAGGGAGGGAAGGGGAGTGCAGGGCAGGGGCCCACCCTGCTTGTCCAGCTGTGTGGGTGCCTCATTCCCCATCAGCCACTTAACCTCTCCTGTACTCACCGAGCACTCCCTACGCCTGGAGCAGACATATAAATGGACTATGGCCATGGGTGGTGGCTGGTTCCCTATCAGAGACTGGCCCAGAGGAGGGGTGGGGGTGGGTAGTACCAGAAGGCTTCCTGGAGGAGGTGATGCTCAGCCTGAAACAGTAGGAAAGAATTTGCCAGGCTGTAGAATTGATGGAGAAGCTCCAGGAGGAAGGAACAGCATCTGCAAAGGCACAGAAGCAGAGGAGATTTGCGGGAGAGGATTTGGGCGAGAAGCGGGGAGAGGGCTGGGCTGAGGTCCTCAGGACCCCTGAGAGGGACCCAACTGGAAGTTGGCTCTGGGTGGCCACATGGAGAGTGGCTGGTCAGGATGCTGTTGTTGTAACTCAGGCAAGAAGGATGGCCTCGGAGGGGTAGGGTCCGAGGCCCGGAGGAGGGGCAGACCTGGGAGAGATTTGCCAGGAGACTGGCTGGCTGGAGAAGGGGTGCGGGGAGCCGGCTGCAATATCAGGGCTGCGGGAGAGGGCGGTGGAGGTGAGCTCTCCCTCTAAAGGTGGGCCGGGGACTGGCCCCCGTGAGCATGTGTGACTCTGCCCACAGGTCCTCCTGGACCACACGGTCCCCCAGGACCCCCAGGTGTGCCTGGAACCCAGGTAAGGACTTCCCCCATTTCTGGCAGGGGCCGAGGGCGGGGGTGGCCTCCCCAGGAAAGAAGAGCCAGGCTTCTTACCAGCAGGAGTTGCTCAGAAAGGGACCAGCCCACATGGCCTCTCTGCAGCGGGGACCCAGGCAGGCCCCAGGGGAGGTGTGTGTGACCCTGGCCTCCTCAGCCACCGCAGCCCTTTTCTGTCCTCTCCCTCGTGCCGGCGAGATGCTGGCGTCCTTCTTGTCTCAGAGATGAGCGGACAGAGACCTTTAGAGCCCAGGTGCCTCCTGAGGACATACGGAATCACAGAATGTCCACCCCAGCCTGTCGCCCTCCCCCCCCCCCGAGAGTCCCCTGTGTGTGCGAGGGCGCCCCGAAGCCTGGTGAGGTGGCCCCAAACCCCAGCTTGCTCCACCTCTCCGGCTGTGTGACTTCCGGCTGCCTTGGCTGCTAAGACAGGGGTACAGGGCTTCGCTTGTGGGTTGTTAGAGGGAGCAAAGGAGAGACAGAGTGCTGGGGTGCGGTGTGTTTTGTGCTGCAGAAGCCAGGGCACTGGGAACCAATCACACCAGGGAGGGGCCGCCCGGAGGCCGGAAGGGGTGGAGCTTCTGCGGCCCCGCCCCCATCCTAGGCCCCTGGGACTAGGGCCCCGAGGTCTGGAGCTCAGGCTCCGCTTAGGGGGTGGCTAGAGGTGGCCCCTATACTGCCGGGCGGGAATCTGGGCCTTGGCCCCGTGTCTGCTGGGACCTTGGGAGTCCACGTGCCCCTTCACCCCTTTAGATCCTTGAACATTCCCCAAACACCTGGGACTCCAGCACCCCAAACTGAGCATACGGCCACTGAGGGGGGCCAAAGGGCAGCCCCGTAGAGCCTAGATTCGAGACGTCAAAGAACTAGTGTTCTGCTCCTTGTTGTCCCCACTGTGTGTTTTTACACCTGGAGACAGCATGGGGGAGGGGCAGGCGGGCACTCCATCTGCGGGAAGTGGAGGTCGGGGCGACCCTCAGAGAGGAGGGTTAGGAGTGGGCCAAAGAGGGTGACAGTAACAGGGCAGGAGCGTGGTGAGGGACAGAGAGGCCCCTCCCCGGGCTGCCTGTGCCACCTGCGTTCGGGATTCGCCATCGTTCCGTCCCAGTGGTGGTGGGAAGTGGAGGCACAGAGAGGTTTAGTCGCTTGCCCAGAGTCACACAGCAGGGGAGCGGCAGGAATGGGGCCACCCTCAGGCTTTCCCCAGCTGCCTTCAGCCGTTGCTGAGAATGTGCTGGGTGCTTTGGGATAGCCTTCATCCTGCGAGGGGGTCTATCTTCAGGGTCTTCGGGCCCTTGGGGTAGTTCCACTCGGGGGGCTGTGCAGACCGTATCCTTGTGGGGCCCCAGGCCCCCAAGATTCCAAGGAGATTCAGAGGAGCCAGTCGAAGCAGTTCCTCCGCCCCCCCCCAAGAGGGAGCGACTGGGATGCCCAAAGGCACCGGGGCACCAGGCAGTGCCCAGTCTGTCCCCGGTTCCCCAGCAGCCCACTGGACAGGCCCTGAAGAGCCCCTTCCATGATCCCCTGCCAGGGCCCACCCAGCCCCCCACACTGCAGGGATGGAGAGAGGTTCCGAGGTTAGCCCAGATGTGGACCATGTCAGAATAGCCCCCAGCCTGCTCTGCTCACCGTGGAAGGGCCAGTGCTTCGCCGTGGACGGTGGGACCAGTTTGGTGACCCAGCCACTGTTTGTCTCCATCCCTGCCACAGAGTGGAGGCCTCTGAGGCTGGGGTGAGGGAAAGTCTTCTAGACATGGGTCAGACGAGTGGGAAGGGACCGTGGCAAAGGACCAGGTGGCCCCGACTTCCCTCCTCTGAGTGGTACAGAGAGACCTGGGTTTGAAGTCCTGCTCTGCCAGTTTCCATCTGGGTGACCCTGAGCAAGTCACTGCCCACCCCACCCCCCGTCCCAGCTCTTGGTTTCCCCTCGTGGGCGGGCTCATTGTGAGATGTAAAGGGGATAATCGAGGAAAAATTCCAGGCTCTCAGGAGACCCTTAATAAATGTTCTTCGTTAACCAGATATCTCTTGGGGACTCCATTGCATCAGACACTGTGCTGGGCGCAAGAGCAAGGACATCAGGAGCCCCGCAGAGGCAGATGGTACAACAGGGGAGGCAGTGTCAGGAAACAGTGTCAGGAAAGGAGGAAATGAGGCGATGTGACAGGGTGAGGGGGCCCAGGCAAGCGAGGCATGACAGATGTGCAAAGATGACGCTTCAGCTGAGACCTAAGGAACCAGAGCTAACAGCTATGCAAAGATGCCAAGAAAGGGCCCTCTCCATAGCCAGAAGAGCAGGTGCAAAGGCCCTGGGGCAGGGAAAAGCCCAGTGCTGACTGAGGAGAGTGGGGGTGAGATGAGGCAAGGCAGAGAGTGTGGGTTTCTGTCATAGAAGAAGGGGGGCTCTGAGTCTCAGGGAGGGGGATCCCATGATCTGATTTACATCTTTAAGAGGCCCCTTCCCTCCTGGCTGTGGTGCGGGAATGGAGGGCAGGGACGCAGTGGAGCAGTGCATCCAGGGAGGAGACCTCGGGAGCGCTTGGGGGTGACGAGAAGGTGACTTGCATTAAGTGATGGTACCCGAGCAGCAAAGGGAACAGACGTGTTCAGAAAGTGGACGTGACAGGTCTGGCTGATGGAACAGACTTGGCAGGAGAAGTAAAGGAAAGTTACCTCCCAGGCATGTGGGGGAGCAGCTGCGAGGACGGGGAGCCACCTTCCGAGGAGGTGTCTACAGGGTGGGGGGGGGTTGGGGAAGTCAGGGTTCCACCTGTGGGAGGCACATGGGTACCAGGGAGCCCTCGGGCTGGACATCAGTACGGACGGGAGTCCCCCAGTGGGACCCTCGCGGTTGGCGTTGCTGGCACTCATCCCTGGGGGCCCGTCTCTCTGTGAGCAGGGCGCTGCGGGCCTCGCCATCCGTGCCGGCTCCGGGTTGGTACATGCGTGGCCTGTTTCTCAGCGGAGAAGAGCAAGCCGAGGCTTGTGGAGGAGCCAGGGAAGGGTGTCCCCCAGGTGGGGCATTCCCGTCCCCTCCACGCCATCTTCCTCCCGTCCCGTGTTTCAGACCCCGAGCCCACGCAGGGGAGGGTAAGGTGAGGACGGAGGTACTGGGGTGGCAGGCAAGGCCTGATCTCCTTTGTCTGACTTTCTGCAGGGCCTGGCGGGAGAGCGGGGCATGATGGGACCGGCTGTAAGTGAGGGGCTGTGCCGATGGGTCATTCCCAGGGTGGTGGGCTCGGGGCGGCCCCGGGGATACCAGGTGGGCGGAGGTCTGTCCCAGAGGCCTCGCCTGACTCAGCCCCACAGCACCCCCAAACATGGCCTGACTGTACCCCGCCCAGAGAAGGGGCACCTGCGTGTGGTCCCCACTGCCCGAGTTGGGAAGGGGTGCCCTTAGAAGATGGGGAGCCCCTCACTGGGATGAGGGTCCTCAGATCTCTTCCGAGGAGCCCAGGCCCCTGAGTTAGCATGCTGTGTGACCTGCAGAGTCCCCTCCCTCCTCTGAACCTTCCAAGAATAGAGGCTCAGACAGCCGGCCTCTAATTTGCCTTCTTAGAAACAAGAATTTATGTCTCAACGTCCTCCTCCGTCCCCAAGTCTAAAGTTAGGGGAAGGCAGCCAGGGAGGAGGGATGGCTCTTTGCTGAGCACCTACTATGTGCTGGCCGCAAGGGAGGCAGTCTTCAGAAATAGTGAGTTTAACCTTCATTTGCAACCCAGCGGGCGGGACTTTATTCGCCCCATTTTTGAGAACTGGCAGCTAAGACTCAGAGAGGCTAAGTAACTTGCCCAAAGTCACACAGTGAGGCAATGGTGGAGCCGAGATTGAAACCCGGGAGTGTTAGCCTCTGAAGCCATGCCTCCTCCTGATTTCTGTCTGCTAAACAAGCCCCGTCATGAGCTTGTGGCCCCAGGTGCCAGTCAAAGCTCGTTACCGGTGTTGATTTCTTGAATCCTCCTCATACTCCTGGGAGGTAGGCAGTATTATTACCTCATTTTAGAGATGAGAATACTGAGGCACAGAGAAGTATGGTAAACTGCTCAAGGTCACATAGGATAGCACATAGGTGTCCTTGTGCAGCTGGTATTACTGACCTGGGTTCAGAGGTGGAAGCAGAGAGAGGCTTGATCCCTGGAAGAGCTGAGATGCAGGCTCGTGGGATTTCAAACCTGGCCCCTCGGTGCCCCTAAAGTCAACCCGTGCCGGGCTGTGCAGCGTCACCTGGGGCCTTGGCGCCGCTGCTCTGCTCCCCCCCAGGGCAGGAGCTCCCATGGGTGCGGCCATCAAGCTCCAGGCCCCGGCACCCTGTCCCCAGGCTCTGCGGGCCCAAGCTGCCCCACGGTCTGCCCTGGAAGCTGCGGAGGGTAGTGAGGCGCCCCTGCGCCCCATGCCGGTTGCAGACAGCTTGACTTTCTTCCCAGGGCGAGCCTGGCGGGAAGGGGCAAGAAGAGGAGAAGGCTGCCGCAGAGGTAACGGTCCCCCTCGGCTGTGCCGCGGCGGGCGGTCCGGTGCCCGGCACATCTGCTCTGACACCTGTCAGCCCGCAGGGCGCTGGGCCATGGGGTGAGCAGGGTCCCAGCCCCGCGGAGGAGACAGATGAGGGAAGTGACGATTGCGGCATAGTGTGCTCATTCTGCACTGGGGGTCGCACGGATGGGGCTCCTGGCTCCTGGCCGGAAGACAGGGAGGACCCTGAAGAAGAGAGCCCCTTACGTAAGGAGGCTGCAGGCTGTGGAGTCCCCCATGCACAGACACGTAGACGGCAGCAGGCAGGGGCCAGGGCAAGATGGGGCAGGGTGGGGACAGAGATGGAGCGCGGCATGGCCGTGAGGACCCACTACCTTCTGGGAGCAGGGGGGTGCCGGAGACCGGCGCGATGGATAAAGGGGGTGAGGGCAGTGGGGCCGGCAGGGAGACCTCATCAGTGGAGAGTCAGAAGGCCCTGTGCGTGTCAGAGCTCAGCAGGGGGGCCTTTGGGAGGGCCATGCAGGACTGGGAGGCAGGGAGAGGCTTCAGGTAGAGCAGCTGTGGGCGGCGGGAGGGCCGTGGGAGGAAGATGTGGGTACCAAGGCCCATGGGGGACAGAGGTGATACTCACGCCTCCACCCCTTTGCATTCCGTAAGCCTGCACCCCGTGGCCCAGGGACATGGGGCTCAGAGGGGGCCCTGGACCCTCTGCTCCTCACTGGGGTGCCCCAATCCCAGACCCTGCCTGCCTTGTGGCTTCTCGGGGCCTGTGGTCCCCTGGACGGAAGGCCTCTCTCCTGTAGGTTACTTTTTGGTTTTCCTTTTGTTTTGTTCGAAACTTGGCTGCTCTGAATGTTGTGACAGAGCTGTCACATTACGCCACCAAAAGCGCCCGTTCTGGGGGCTGACAGCAGGGCGGGGCCTGATCGCCTCACCATCACTTTCTGTTTCAAAGCGGCCTTGACACCTGTCTTCTCCATCAGCCAGCTCATCTGCATGTCTTGGCACACAGGCCCTCTGCCCATGCGTGACACTCCAGAAGGCTTCTCTTTTTCTCACTGGGGTGCACCCCCCAGAGAGCTCTCGGATGGACAGTGCCAGCAAAGGGACCAGGAAAACACCGCCACCTGTGCGAGGGGCTATGCCCTCGGCAGGGTATTTCCTGGGAGGAAGGGCACGCAGGGCAAGCAGCCAGGTAGCCCTGGGAGGAGGAAGAAGCGAGGCTCCAGGGGGCCATGTGCCTCAGATTCCTTGCCTGCAAACACGACTTCACACCCCAGGCATGGCACGTGGCTGTTGTGCTGAGGGAGGTGACATGGCGAGGTAGGAGGCGGGAGCGGGGAAGGCCGGATAGATGTGTGCACGGAAGCCTCGGGGGCCCCGGCCGTGCCCCTGTGGTCAGCCCTGACCTGGCTGCTTCCTCCCCACCAGGGTGAGGGGGTGCAGCAGCTGCGGGAGGCTCTGAAGATCCTGGCGGAGAGGGTTCTCATCCTGGAGCACATGATTGGGATCCACGGTGAGTTGTGACCAGGGCCTGGGGGAGAAGGGGCAGCCGGACCCACAGCTGGCCCCAGAGCTGGGCGTCCCCTCTGTTCCCGCCTCCCCGCTCCCCGCCACCCTCATGGCAGCCGCCACCGTCTCTGGTCTCCAATGACGCCTCCACTTGGCTGCCAGATGGTCTTCCCAGTCAGGCCCTGCGCCTTCTTTTGCTCAAGTACCCTCCGTGGCTCCCTGTTGCCCATGCTCGATGTCCAGGCACGTCAAGGCCCAAGCCCCTCCCCAGCCTGGCCTGGTGCCCGGTGACATGGAGCCACCACCTGGTCATCCCAGGACCCCCCCCCTCCCCAAACCTCTGTTTTCGCTCAGGCCAGTCCCTCTGCCTGCTGGCCACCATCTCCCACACAGGATGTGCTTTAGCCTCTCTTCCTCTGTGAAGGCGCCCTCCCCTCGCCTCAGAGTTCTCTGCAGAGCCTGCTACTCCCTAATGGCCTGGGGTTTCCTGGCATGCTGGGAGGCCCTGGCGAAGGGGGGTGGTGGTGACTGGCAGCCCAGCCCTCTCAGCATTTGTGACCGAGTGCATGGGCACCTGAATGAGTGGGGGCACGTGGGGGTGGACACGCATCCTCGCTGGGCACATGGCTCCCCCGGCACCAGGCGCAGAGTACCTTGCTGTGCTCCCAACGGGGTCACACGTACCTGCCGTCCTTCCAGATCCCCTGGCCTCCCCCGAGGGGGGCTCCGGCCACGACGCTGCGCTGCGAGCCAACCTCAAGATGAAGCGTGGGGGCTCCCCACCACCCGACGGCGCCCTCGCCGCCCTGCTCGGCCCCGACCCCGGGCAGAGGAGCGCTGGCCGGGCCAGCGGTGGCAAGTAGGAGGCCAGCTCTCCAGGACAAGCCCCAGCCCTGCCAGCTCCCAGGCCCGTGTGGCGCCCAAATCGTGAGGACGCCGCTTAGTGAGACTGGGATCCAGGCACTGACGGTCCTGAGGGACGCCGGCTCCTGGGGCCTCGGGGCCTTGGGGACAGATGGCAACTCCGGAGGCAGGATCCAGAGGGCCTGGCACCCTTCGTGGGGCCCTGTCCTGGTCCCTGCCCTCCCCCACCCTCAGTTTCTGCAGGAGACGGGCTCTGGGTGGGCTGGGCGGGGCACGAGAATAATCATAATACTCCTCATTTACTGAGTCTGGGCCTGTCCAAGGGGCTTTCCTTACATTGTCTCATTTAACCCTTAGGAGGTAGGCTTGTTACCCCACTTTCCACGGGAGGACAGAGGCTCGGCCAGTGTAAATAACGTGCCAAGGCCACGGGACCAGTGACGGCTGGGGCAGGATTTGAACCCAGGCCTCTCGGTTCTTTCACTCTGGACCCTGCCAGCTTCCTGTCTTCACAGAGAAACTCAGGGCAGGCGCGGGGCTATGGGGAGGCCGGACCGGGCAGCAGGGAAGGAAGTCAGGGTCCTGAGCCTCTTTCCTCCACCTCCCCGTCCCCGGGCTTGGGGTCTGCTCCGGGGTCTGGCGGCAGCCTAGCCGGCAGCTGCTCTCAGAGGCCAGGGGGACCCTGAATAAGCCCATGACGGTCGCAGGGACTTGGAGACAGTGAGAGAGGAGCACTGGGGGTGCAGGGGCCTTCAGACCAAACTGGCAATCGCCCACCACTGCCTCCCAGTCTCTCTGGACCCGCCCAGCCCCGCCCAGCAGGGCCCTCCTGCCCCTGTGAACCCAGAGGAGGGAGTATTCCTGGGGAAGTCCATCTGAAGAGACCATCACTTGCAGCCTGCTCTCTCCGGGAAGCTGTAGGGCTGGCCATTGACAATCTAGAGAAAGGAGAGACACTGTCCCCCAGGGCTGCGGGCCCGGGACCGCAGAGCAATCAGACCACAGCCCTTAAGGCCTCTCGGGTCCTGGGTCCCCTGTGACCTGGGCCAGCCCTGGTGCTCCTCTCTTGCTGGGCCAGGAACCAAATATCGCGGTGCCACCCCAGGGCCTGTGTCCCCTTGGGACATGAGTCATCTGTTCCCAGCGTCCTTGGTGCTCCCTGGAGGTTGTGGCCTGGTCCCACCAGGCCCTGGTAACCTCCTCCAGCCCTCAAGGCCCCCGATGGCCCCACACGAGGCAAAACTGGCCTGGGGGCCAAGGAGTGGCAGTCAGAGGCAGCGGGAAGTCTGTAACACTCTGACAATAAAGGTGCTTTCCCCACTGGGGGTCTGGTGTCATGTGGTGGCAGCCTGGTGGCAGTCCGTCCCCGGCAGATTCACATCTAGTGACATTGTGGCTGGATGTGAGGACAGGCGAATCCTGGCCAGTGCCACGCACCTAGCGTGAGACGTGGCTGCGGGGCCACAGCAGTGGAGTGGAGGGTCGTCCGGGGCCTGTGGGAGTGCGCCAAACGGGAAGGAGACCGGGCAGGCAGGTGCACGCACCAGCAAAGGCCGGAAGCCAGCAGGGAGGTAGGGGTTCTGAGGGCCAGGGGCTGGCTCTTCCGGGGCCATCACATTCTAGTCGGAGCCCCTAGCGGCCTTCCCAGTCTTTGTAAAGGATATTTATCAAAGTCAGAGACTTAACATACAATTTTTAAATAATTCGATACATGGGCTGCCTCTTTGTACCCTGGCCCTGGGAGTGGAGGGGAGTGCAGAAGGGAGCCAGCTTCCGGCTGGGGGTTCCTACCAGCAGGGTGGACAGGCCAAGGCTGCAGTGTGTCTGCTTGCCCCCCACGATCCCGGCCCCTCTTGTAGACCTCCCCGAGTCCAGGACCCCATTCCAGTACCAAGAGCAGGATGTGATCGGTGGGTGCCCGTGCCATACAGCTGTCAAATACTTTTAACGTGGCTCTTGGCACAAGCAATAGAGGGCGATGGCACAGCTGGGGTGAGAGCGTGCACTTTGCCTCTGACACATGGTCTCCGGCAGAAATTCACGGCTGACCTGCTGCCTTCGGAGAGGGGAGCTCGCACTGGTGGGCTGGATGGCCTTGGTCAGAAATCCGAGGGGCGCCTGGGTGGCTCAGTCAGTTGAGGATCCGACCTCAGCTCAGGTCGTGTTCTCACAGTTTGTGAGTTCAAGCCCCGCATCGGGCTCGCTGCTGTCGGCACAGAGCCCGCTTTGGATACTCTGCCCCTCTCTCTCTGACCTCTGCTTGTGCTCTCTCAAAAATAAATAAATATTACAAAGAAAAAACCCAAACAAACCTCAGAAGTGGGTCAGAAACCTTAGTCCAGCCAGGCTGGGGTTCCTCTGGGGCATTCCAATAGGACCCCACATTTCCTGCTCCACCCCCTGGGGTTTAGAACTCAAGAGAACACAGTACAGCTAGTTTCCTGAGGGAAGGAGGGAATCAGAGTGTGGCTGGACGTTAATCAGACACTCACTTAACCTCCACACTCAGGGACCACGTCTGAGCATTTCCTGTCCCAGAATGCACTGGGAGGCCCACTCCGGGCTGGGTGGGAGGGGTTCTTGGGGGACACATTCTTCTCACTCTGGGCTTGGCATGCTCCCGGATGTCCCCAAGGGGCTATATTCTCTTGCCGGTTGGGCAGGAACTGCCTGAATCTGGCCCTGGTCCCCAGCCAGAGGAGGGTCCCCTAACCCCAGCCCTCACTGCTCTGCCTACCCCATTAGGCTCTGATCTTCTTTTATTTCATTTAATTTTATTTTATGTTAATTCATTTTTGAGAGACAGAGAGAGACAGAGCACAAGTGGGGGTGGGGCAGAGAGAGAGGGAGACACAGAATCTGAAACAGGCTCTAGGCTCTGAGCTAGCTGTCAGCACAGAGCCGGACGCAGGGCTCGAACCCATGAACCATGAGATCATGACCTGAGCCGAAGTTGGATGCTTAACTGACTGGGCCACCTGGGCGCCCCAGGCTCTGATCTTCTTTTGGGCAGGGTCACATTTATGTCCCCAGCTCCCAGCTCTGATCACTGTAGTGAGTCACAGCACATTCCCTAAAGGAGAACGACTCCTTTCTGGAACCTAGGAGACAGTGACTGAGGTAGTGAGCAGGGGGGCGGGCAAGCATCCAAGATGGGTTTGGGTCAGAACAGAAACCCCCTCCCACCCAATTATCCCACACCTGCAATCCCAACTAGCCCTGAGGTTTCCAGAACATCTCTCTTCCAGACCTGTTTTATGGATGATAAAAAAAGAGAGAGAAAATTTCACGAGATTTTCAATTACTTGAATTCCAGGGAGATTTATTTCCAATGTTATTAATAAATTCTAATGTCATCTATAACTTTCAATTGCCAGTTAATTAACTTGCAATTGGTGCATTGTAAAAAGCAAATTAAATACTTTTCCAGGCGGGGGCTGGTAAATCTAATGAGCCGGTGTGCCCCGAAGGAGACAGCGGGGCTCTTATGTCCCAGCAAGGAGCCAACTACCTCCTGTTGATGGTTGTGCGGCATAGGCGGGTGACAGTGGGGCCTCAGTGTCCTCATCTGTAAAAGAAGATGACAGAACCCTCTTCCAGAACCTTCACGGTATCTGAGGCTGAAGCTGTTTTATGTTTGTAGAGAAATGCGACGAAGGGGCCCCAAGCGTTAAGTGGAGTCGATAGACCTTGCTGCTACACTGTGGGCAGGTCGCTGGACAGGCCCCTGAGGCTGCCGTGACAAATTTCCAGGAATATACCTCTCACAGTTCCGGAGGCTAGGGTCCAAAATCAAGGTGACGGCAGGGCCGTGCTCCCTCCGCAGGCTCTGAGGGAAAATCCCTTCCCTCTACGGTTTCTAGTGGCTCCAGGTGTCCCTCTGGCTTGTGGCTGTCACGGCCTTCACATGGCTTCCCTCTTATGTCTGTCTTGTCCCCTGTGTCTCTTACAAGGACTTGTCATTAGATTTCGGGCCCATCTGGGGAATCTAGGAATCTTTTCATCTTGACACCCTTAACTTAATTATATCCTCGAAGATCTTTTTCAAAATAAGTTTGTATCTGGTGGTTCCAAGGATTACAACTTGGACGTAGAGTTAGGAGGCCATCATTCAGCCTACTCCTGTGCCCTTGGGCAAGTCACTTAGCTTCTCGGATCTTCCATCTTCCACCACATCAAACAGAGAGCTGAACTAGTCAGAGAAGGTGCCTACTGTGCGTCAGGCACTACCCCGACCATCACATGTATTGACCCCTGCCAACCTGACAAAACAGGTGCCTGATTTCCTTAATTTTGCACATGAGCAAATTCAGGCCGGAGGTCAAGTGGTTGCCCAAGGTTGCCCGGGCAGTAAGAGGTGGGGCCAGGATTTGAACCCAGGCCATCTGACCCTGCAGCCTACACTCCCTGTTTTGTAATTGAGCTTTATCATTATCATTATCATTATTATTATTATTTTAATTTTTTATTTTTATTTCTAGGAGAGAGAGAGAGAGACAGCGTGAGCTGGGGAGGGTCAGAGAGAGAGGGAATCACAGACTGAAACAGGCTCCAGGCTCTGAGTTGGCAGTCAGCACAGAGCCCAACGCGGGGCTCGAACCCACGAACCGTGAGATCATGACCTAAGCGAAAGTCGGACGCTTAACCGACTAAGCCACCCAGGCGCCCCAATTTTTTTTATTATTATTATTGAACTATAATTCACATACCATTCAACTCACCCATTGCAAATGTATAATTCAGTGGTTTTTGGGTATATTCAGAGTTGTGCAATCAATTTTAAGATATTTTCACCACCCCCAAAAGAAGCCCCATGCCCTGGAGCATTACCCCAGTCACCCCATTCCCCCCACCCCTTGGTGACCACTAACCCACTATCTATGAGTTTGCCTACTGGACATTTCACACACTGGAAACATCTACTACGTGACTTTCTGCTTGTGCCTCCTTTGAACGTAATTCCAACATTCGCCCATGTTAGTTCATGTATCAGTGCTTCATTTTTCTTTATGGCTGAACAGGAGCCTACACGCTTTCAACTACCACAATGACCTGTAAGGTCCCTGGCAGCTCGGAATACCTTTCTGTAGGATTGGCACTTTCCAGAAGCCTCCACCAAACCCTGAGGCTTGGTCTTCGAGGATTCTGTGGGAGGTGGGGGCAGAGCCTCTCCCCCTCTCCCCACATCGCCATCCTCTCTCGTTACAAGATTCCTGACACAGCAAGATGCCAGTGACACCAGGCACCAATGGGTGCACTGACCAGCCATCAGGCAATGGTCACCCCCCAAGTCCAGCTGTTCTGCCCTCAGATGGTGCAGCGCTCCTGAACTTTCTCACGCCCTGGCTCACAGAGAACAGGATGACATCTGTACGGCACTAGGGTCTCCGGTAGCCTCCGGGGGCCGCCACCTGAGCTCACCTGAAACACGTTCACCGCGAAGGTGGGAAGCTCTGATCTCAGGTGTCAGGAGAGCACCCAAAGGATGCTCCCTGATTTGGTTTGAAGGCTTTTTTTTGCAGGGGACCATTGTCTGAGCTGCTGAGGACTCTGGGGCAAGGAGTGGTTGCTACCAAGAAGCCCCCCTTCACCCAGAGCTTGCCTATGGGGCTCAGAATGGCAGACGGGACCCCAGAGTCTCAAGTTCCGGTTCTGACGTGGCCCCTGGCTTCTTATGTGCCGTTGAAGGGCCCACGCCCTCTCTGGCCTCACATGGGGACATTATGGGGATTGGGCTCTGTTGCCCCCTCCCTGGATTCATGGCAAAAGCTGGTTTGGCTCCAGGATTTCTCCACCCGGGGGGTCAGCTGCAGCCCATCCGTATCACCCACATTTACGAACTTGCACTCGTGAACACTCCTGGACTCTGCCCAGGTCTGGCCCCACGTGGGCTTCTGGGAACGCGGCAGCCCCTAGTCTGGATGTGGGCAGCCCATCTTGAGCCATCGATGGGGGACAGACGTGGCTTCATCAAGGGCCAGGGAACCAGAAAAAGCCCTGGCTCATTGCCACCCCCACTACTCAGCAGCAGGCTAGTCCCTGCCTCCCAGAGAGTGGAGAGCAAGGACAGTGGTGAGGGCTGCAAGGGACCCTGGGGAGCGGCAAGCACCCAGCCCAGATGGAGGGAGGAGCATCCTCTCAATGAGGTGACAAGCTGAGGCACCTGAAAGATTGAGTAAGACTTAACCAGGTGGAGGAGGGGGCAGGGTGAGCCCAGCAGGTGCAAAGGTCCATCAGTGTGAGGAGAAAGGCAGTGTCAGAAGCACAGGAAAGTTTCCAGAAAGGGGCTGGGGACAGGTGGGGGAGGAGGGAGGGACAAGGTCAG